ACGTGGATACACAGATCCCAGAAATGGTAACCAAACAAAACAGAGACCACAGGGATCCAAAACTTCCTTGACAATATCTTGCTTTTTCCTTTTTACGTCTTATTCCTTCCTGACCAGATGTAAACAGAAATGGGGGAAAGGAACAAAGCCCAAAACATGTCTTCAACAATAAAAAACCCCCACATCAACAACAACCTCTGGTTCAACCGAGATGTCTCATCAAAAAGAATGGGAGATGCACATGAAGTCCCCGGGGAGGAGTGGAGCCACACACCTGATATAAAATATCACACCTGCAGAAGTCGGTCCACTATCAATTGAGGAGGGGCGAGCCCAGGTGTATCCAGCCAACCCTGCCATACCTGCTGGAACTTACGATAAGCATTGCGATATTGATGCGTGAATTTCTCCCGTGGGAGTAAAGAATTAACATAATGTATCCATTGCTTACTAGTCGGAGGAGCTGATGATAACCAGTACCTTGCTATCAACTTCCTAGCCAGATATAAAAGTCTAGATACCATAATATACCTTCCTGGTTGTAACAGTTCTTGGACCAGTGCCCCCAACAGACAATGCAAGGGATCCTGGGGAACAGTATATTGCGATACTAGAGAAATAAGTTGGAGAACCTCACTCCAATATCTATGTAACTTGGGGCAATGCCAGAGCATATGAATGAAATCAATCTGTTAGATCCTACACCTGGACAATCAGGGGAATCCTGCCTGCCTCACCGATACAGTTGCACAGGGGTCCTATACACTCGAGAATAAACAATTGAGACAATTTATGAGAGGGAGAAAGAGAAATTCCCGGAAGAGATTCCATCTCCAGAAAACTCTCTCAATATCCTGGGACCACTGCTCCCTGCTTTGGAGACTAGCTTGATCCTGTACTGTGGAAATTAGCTGGGAGTATACCCGAGAAATCATGCCCTTCTTATGGGCTGCCTGAGTGACATCCTTAAGAAAAACTGAGTCTGTCAATGTGAGATTAGAGAGCGAAGACTGTACCGCATGGCGTAGCTGAAGATAACAATAAAAATGCTTATGTGTAAATGTAAATTCCAGTTGCAGTGGAGAAAAGGACTTTAGGATTGCCTCCGAATACAGCTGATATACAAATTTCAGGCCTCGATCTCTCCAGTTGAGAAATCCTCAAGTTTAGCCAGTTCTACATATTGCGGATTATTCCACAAGGGAGTTCAGGAAAGAAAGATGGTAATATTTGGCAAACAGATGACACCAGAAGTTTCAAGAGACGCAGCCGCACTCTTGAGTGAGCATGGCGTAAAAATAAATCCCTGAAAAACTTTACCCTCTACAAATCCGCTCTTCTCAAATACAACTCCAGCCTCCACGCTGCTAAGCAAACCTACTATAACACTCTCATCAAGACCCTCTCATTCAATCCTCATCAACTCTTCTCTACCCTTAATTCCTTACTCCACCCCTCACTGATTCCACCCACCAACTTACTTACTGCACAGGAGATTGCCAGTCACTTCAAGAAGAAGATCGACACAATTCGTGATGAGATCTCCAGTGTCAAGCTTCCTCCTCTAACCAACATACCAGGTCCAACATCAAACTCTACACTCTCCTCCTTCGACCCTGTTACCACTAAGGAAGTTACCGAACTCCTTTCCAAGGCCCACTTCACCACCTGTCCCCTGGATCCTGTCCCCTCACGACTGTTGCAGCCTCCTTCCTGCTCTATCCTAAACTCTCTAACCCACATCTTCAACCTCTCACTCTCCATGGGCTCCTTTCCCTCCCCACTCAAACATGCACTGGTTACCCCCATCCTCAAAAAACCCTCACTGGACCCCACCTGTTTGAATAACTTAAGACTTCCTGCTCCCGTTTGCCTCCAAGCTTCTCGAGCACCTTGTTCACAACCATATGAACTTCTACCTCACCGACAACAACATTCCACAGAAACTGCCCTACTAAAACTCACTAATGACCTACTAACTGCTAAAACCAACGACCATTACTCCATACTCATACTCCTTCACCTTTCCGCTGCCTTTGACACAGTCGACCACCCGCTTCTCCTCAGTAAACTCCACTCCATCAGCCTCCATGACGCTGCTCTCTCCTGGTTCTCCTCTTACCTTTCTCAGCGCACTTTCAGTGTCACATACAACTCCTCCTCCTCCGCTCCACTTCCTCTTTCTGTTGGGGTACCCCAAGGTTCTGTTCTTGGGCCCCCTCCTTTTCTCTCTCTATACCTCCTCCCTGGGCCAACTGATAACCTCCCATGGCTTCCAATACCACCTCTATGCTGATGACACCGAGATCTATCTCTCCACTCCCCAGCTCACCCCCTCAATCTCCTCACGTATCACAAATCTACTAAGCGACATATCAGCATAGATGTCACATCACTACCTTAAACTCAATCTTTCAAAAACTGAGCTTGTAATATTTCCTCCTCCCCGATCCCCCACTCATGACTTTACCATTAAGATCAACAGCACTACCATTGGTCCTTCCCCTCATGCCAGGGTGCTAGGTGTAATCCTAGACTCTGACCTCTCCTTTGGGCCCCACATCCACTCACTGGCTAAATCCTGCTGCCTCAACCTCTGGAACATTTCCAAAATCTGCCCCTTCCTGACCAATGACACCACAAAACAACTTATCCACGCCTTGTTTCTATCACGCATCGATTACTGCAGCTCCCTCCTCACTGGTCTACTGTTACACAGGCTATCCCCCCTTCAGTCTATTATGAATGCTGCTGCTAGACTCATACACCTTACCAACTGATGCCCCTCTATGCCAATCCCTCCACTGGCTTTCACTAACCCAATGTATAAAATTCAAAATACTAACCACAGCTTACAAAAGCCATCCACAACACTGCCCCTAGCTACATCACCGACCTCATCCACAGATACTGCCCAAATCGCCCACTCCGCTCCTCCCATGATATCCTCCTCATGACCTCCTCCCATGCTCGCCTCCAGGACTTCTCCAGAGCCTCTCCCATCCTCTGGAACTCCCTATCACAGCATGTCCGGTCAGCCCCCACCCTGTCTGCCTTTAGGTGATCTTTGAAAACGCCTAACCCACCTCCACCTAAGAACTGTACTTGAATCACCTCCGCCAGATCATCCCAGATGTTGTTGTTGATGTGGGGTTTTTTTATTGTTTGAAGACATGTTTTGGGCTTTGTTTCTTTCCCCCATTTCTGTTTCCCTGACCAAGGAAAAAAAAACCTGACCCTTGACCCTGACCTTGACTTTTGTCCCTGACCTTGACCCAAACACTAACCTTGGCACTGACCTAGATCAAACCTTGATATAGGTATTTTGGTTTATAATTTAATTATTTATTTATTTTTTACACACAATTGTTTTTTTTACTCTCTGAAAAGACAAAGAGAGATACAATGTATCTCTCCTCCATTCAAAGAGAGAAAACAAGAGGAGCAAGCTTCACAGTGACTGATCACTGTGATAGCCAATCAGAGGTGACCCCAAAGCGGGAGTTCTGGGTCCCGATCATTAGAACGGGACCCGGGGCTCTCAGTGGCACCCTGGTCTTTGTGCTAGGAGCACGCCATGCAGTGCGCTCCAAGCAGAAAGCCAGGTACACAAATTAGCGGCCCCACGGAAAAAAGCCCAGTTCTGTGAGGCCACTAATTTGCGCGTGGTCAAGGGGTTAAAAAAAGAAAAGACAACACTTATCACAGAGCCACAAATAGTGTTAGCAGTCTGCTTTTCATAAACTATCCCAATACCTTCAACCTGAGGTGGCTTTTTAGTCCCCAGCGTACAGCAAGAACTATTAGGCAAGGCTAGCTCACTTTGGGTCCTCAGGACCTGATGTAGCCTGGGATGGCAGGGATGTAGACTGAAATTAAAGAGCTCTTTAACCCTGAAGTAATCAATGTTCCATTTAAGTGCAATGAAGAGACTTTTGCGTGCATGATAGGGCCCAGATGGTGCACAATGAGAAGAAATGTGAATAATGTTTCTCTGAAGAACAATGCAATAAAGCAAAGGAGGAACAGCACTCCCCTTGAAAGTGCCAGTGAACTAGTATAATGTCCTTTTAAGTGCATTGGTTACTAGTAAGTAGATTTGATAAAAAAGGATGTTGAGCTGGCAGAAGTGATTGTTGATACAGGGTAGCTCATCTCTGGACTGTAAGACTATTGGCGCAAAAGGAAGAGGTTTCTTTAAAAGGGTAAATTGATGATGATGATATTGACTGGCTGTCCTGCTATCAGTGCTGTTGTCAAGGCTGTGTCAAGTGTAGTTAAGAAACAGTGGCTGGAAGAACTAGGCCGCAACCTTTAAAGACTGTATGCAATGCCCACAACTGTGTGGAGAAATAGCAACTATGGAGCAAGTGTTAGTGTTTATTTCCCTGGGCAAGACTTTGCACTCTCTCACCCGAGGAAAGGCTTCTGGTGGATCCTTATGATCTTTCTCACTCTCCAGATGGGACCCACTCAAACTCTATGGTCTCACCTGCTACGATATGCCTGGTCACCTGCTGACAGATCAGTTCTCTGCATCAAGCAGCAAGGTCAGCAATCAGCATATTCTCTTTGCCTCCCTTCTCTCTCTTCCCGGAACCTGGTTCGGCTTTCAGGTGATTAACACACTTCTCTCTCTAGATCTCTTCCCTCTCACTTCCTGTCCAGTCTCCCGGCTTTTACATATGCCCCCTGCTCACACGCCAGTTCCTCTGGGAAATCTAGTTTCTAACTGCACTACTTAACCACTAGCCTACAGGGCACTTATACCCCCTTCCTGCCCAGGCCAATTTCCAGCTTTCAGCGCTGTCATAGTTTGAATGACAATTGCGTGGTCATGCAACACTGTACCCATATGAAATTTTTATCATTTTTTTGAGACAGATAGAGCTTTCTTTTGGTGGTATTTAATCACCTCTGGGATTTTTATTTTTTCTTAAACAAACCATAAACCACTGAAAAGTTTGAAAAAAAAAGTTTTTTCTTAGTTTTTGTTATACAATTTTGTAAATAAGCGATTTTCCTCCTTCACTGATGTGCGCTAATGAGGTTGCAGTGATGGGCACTGATAGACTGCACTGATGGACACTGATAGCTGGCACTGATGAGGAGGCACTGGTAGGTTGCACTGATGGGCATTGACAGGCATCACTGATGGGCACTGAAAGGCAGCACTGATACATGACACTGATACATGACACTGATATATGGCACTGTTAGGCGGCACTGACTGGCACTGTTAGGCGGCACTAACTGGCACTGTTAGGCGGCACTGACTGACACTGATAGGAGGCACTGACTGGCACTGATGCACACTGTTAGGCGACACTGACTGGCCCTGACAGGTGGTGCTGATTGGCAGCACTGATAGGTGGCACTGATTGGCATTGATAGGTGGCACTGACTGGCACTGATGGGTGACATTGAAAGGCAGCTCAGATGGGCACTGATATGTGCACTGGTATGCATTGATATGTGGCATTGATGTGGCACTGATGGGCACTGGCACGTGGCACTGATGAGCACTGACAGGTGGCACTTCTGGGGCCACACTGATCATCAGGGAACACTGATCATCAGTGCCCTGATGATCAGTGTACATGTCCCCTCCGCGGAAAGCCAATTACCGGCTCTCCTCTCCTCTCGAGCTGTCAGCGTGACAGCTCGAGAGGAGAGAAATGCCGATAACCGGCATTTCCGTGTTTACATGTGATCAGCTGTGATTGGACACAGCTGATCACATGACCGAGCCGTCATCTTCGGCTCTTTCCGTGATCCGCTGTGTCCGAGGGACACAGCGCACCGGCGATTGACGTGCTGCGCGCTTCCTGAGCCACGCATGCACAGTGAGAATGTAGGATGTCATGTGACGTCCTATCAGAACGAGAGAACCACCTTGCGCCCGTCATTGTACTATAGGGTGGGCGGAAGGTGGTTAAAGTCCTGTGATTCAGCATACAAGTTCCATAGAACTGATCTTCAACATGAGAATGCCACTGTTCTACAGGACACTACCATCTTGTGTTGACTTCAACATTCTGCATCAAACATTTATAGCAGGGTGTTACAGATGTGTTGTATGTTACGCAGTCCTGACCACTGTACTGTATATGTTTTGTTGTACATTACATTGTCCTGATCACTGCACTGTATATGCTATTGGACCCTACATCATTCTGCTGTACTTTACATAGTCCTGACCTATGCAATTTTTATAGTATTTTGTATATTACATTGTCCTGACTGCTGCACTCTCTATGATATTTTGTATGTTAGTCCTGAGCACTGCACTTTATATTCTTTGTTGTGCATCAAATATTTCTGACTGCTGCATTGTATGTGCTATGTTGTGCATTACATAGTCCTGACTGGTAAATTGTATATGCTTTTTTTTTACTTTAATAGTCTTGACTGCTGCACTTTATATACTGTTCTACCCTACATAATCCTGTTATACATTACATAGTCCTGACCAATGCACTCTTTATAGTATGTTGCAAATTACATAGTCCTGACTGCTGTACTTTATATGGTATTTTGTATGTTACATAGTTCTGAGCAGTGCAATGCAGACACTATATTGTACAGTTTCTCTCCTCAGTGAGCTCCAGGGTCATAACAGCCAAAAACAGCCAAAGAGCACAAAAATGAAAAACTAAAGTCCTTTTGATCAGTTAAGGAAGTTCATAGAAAACTCCTTAAAGACAGCTGAAATTAATAGGGTTAAATCCTGAGAAATGTACACTGACGGTGCCTGCTATCACTCCTACTGAAGGACCTGGGTGCTCCAGGGTCAGAATACCAGCAATGGCCCTCGGAACATTCTGTTTGCCAGATTTTCAGTCTACACCAGTCTATTACCCAATCTTCAGTCCTCATGCACACTGGACATGTTGATAATGCTGGTAACATTAGCTGTGTAAAGTCACTTTAAAAACTCAAGTTTTTCAGCTTTTTTTAGCATTTTTGCATTAGCATTTAGCAGCGTTTTGTCGCGTTTAGCTGTGTTTTTCCGCCTTTGCATTTTTTAGCATTTTGTACCAAAAATAAAATAAATATTTTGGTAAAAACAAGTCCAAAAACACAGGTTTGCGGTGTTTTACTGCATTTTACCGTGTTTTGCTGTGTTTTTCAATCTTAGAGCATTTTTACAGCTCCTCTAGAAACCCACTAATCCTGGGTTTTTTTTCCAGCCAAAAAACGTCCCAGCCAAAAAATGTTGATTACAGCCTATGTGTGCATGGACACATGGATAACATGCTGGGGGGTTTACTAACTGTAGAAAAAACCGTCAAAAGCAGCAGCTGTAAAAACATGAAGTGTGCATGAGGACTTAACCATAAAGAGAGAAACAACTTTACAGATCGACAGTTTAAAGCTAAGCAGCCTACCTCACCCCTTCTGGTCTTTATCTACAGGGGAACAAAAGTACTGTTTGGTACTATACCATACATTTTCACTGTATCTTTCTCAGGAGTGGTTTCTCCAGAGCATATTACTAGCAAAAAATAAGTGAACATATGGCTTGCAGAGTCAGTTAAGTGTAATCCAAGATCATTTACAAATTTGTATAGGTAATTTTTGGAGGAACATGCAGACATACGGTTTTCTCTGATATTCTCTAAACCCCAGCTGCATTAAATATATATAAAATTAGTTACATGTTGCTATTATAGATAAGCAGTCTATACAAATTGCCTAATCGTTTGAAAATCATATGATCTATGCCTGTGATCCTGCTACAGTCACTGCTCTGTCTCTTCTTAACTTTTCTCTTTCCTTTTTTAGGCCTCTTCTTAGGCCTCTTCTTAACACCCTTAGCTTTTCTCTTTTCTTTTTAGGCCTTCTATTTCCAATTGTTAATACAATTTATAAAATACAGTACTTGTTAAACAATATCTGCCTAGAACAACAGATATTTGGGCTGGCATCCCCAGGCTGGAGAGCTGAGGGACATTTTCCTGTCTGTTAATCCCTTGGCACAGTGTATAAACACAGACGTATGGATCGTAGGGAAATGAAATGACTTGCTTTTCTAAAAGACATATGGCCCACATGTCTAAACGAGATCCTATAAAAACAAAAACTTTATTTCTCTTTTATTAAAGTGGGACTACAGGCAAGACAAAAAAAATGAAAATAAGATGAAGTCTATTGCTAACAATAACACAGCAGTTTATGTTTTTCAAGCCCCTCCTTTTTCAAGTCCTTCTTATGTTTTGAGTCCCCCCTTTAAGATAGTTGTATTACCTGTTGATTAAAGCCAGCAGATCTGTTATTTTTCATTTAACATTAAGTGGTCAAGCTGTCCAGCAAAAGATGCAATTATAGGTTTGGCACATTCCATTTTACATTTAAAGGAGTGCTTATGATGGTTAGCCTGTGGGTAGGGCTTAAATGCCCACTGAGGGACCTTTTAGTAGTGCTTGCTAATGCCAGCACCTACAGGCTTAGACCATGGTCATGTGATATCATCATTAGGGTGGAACTTCGACATAAAAGTGAACATGATTTACTTGTACAGTTCACCCCTTGTGTATGTGATGCTTCCTTATTGCATTGTTCCTTGATGCTCTGTAACTTCTTCCAATGGATGCAGCACTTTCGGGTGGGTACCATGGAGTGTGTACCCACTCCACCAGCACAGCCTGATATGCCACCTCACTCCCAGTGACATTATAAGATGTCTCCTTTCTCAAGGCCTCTCTCTCTTCTCTTCTGTGATGCCTCTAGGTAACAAACCCTCTCACTACCAGAGCCTTCCATCACCCATGCTGTGGCCGTGCCATCACAACTCCTGCTGGCTGGCTGATTAAGCACCAACATTACTCTGGTTACCGCTAGCAATATAGCCTTGAGTACTTCAGCTCCACTGCCTGTGAGACCTTTGTAATGTTTCCTCCTCTACTTCTCTTCATCCCCATAACAAGCCCCGTTCTTTTGTACACCATATGTGCACCCCTTTAGTGACGCCCAACCAGGCAGATTAGCTTAACTATTAAAGTTCTTTACTGAAGAAGTTAAATATAATAGATTAACTGTTCTCAGTAGCATCTTCCACATCTATTCCTGTACATGCACTTCTAAGGGCCACTTAGTTGTTTCTGCTTTTTAGTAATGCCCCTGGTGCTACCTTCTGCCCCATGAAATATTCATATAATAATTAGGAGAAAAAGCCTTTAAATCCATAGTCCATTTCAACAACACAAGTCCATACCCCCGGGAATCCCAACTGGATTTCCGAAAGGGGTGGTAAGGCAGAAAAGTGGAGATTACATTCTTTTTTTTTTCATTTCCCATGCAGAGAGCAATGACCCTTTACCTAGACACAGTTTCCCTTTTTGTATGAATTGTCTAGCAGAGGGCGATACTTCTCAGAAAAGCCTTGGAAAGCTTGGCTAGCAGAGTTAGCCCTTACCTCTCCTTCAGCACCACTTTTTCTGGGCAGCATCAACTAAATAGTGCAGTTAACACAGTAGAAAATAGGAAAATACATTTAACCCAGAGAATGTTAAACACAACCACCATAGTAATACCTCTGTAAGAAGTCTTTTTCAAAGCAATAGGACAGTCATGACAAGCACAGACTCTTCTGCGGCATCAGTACATCAGGAAGCATTGTGGAAATGAAGGAGGTCATCTTTATGTTTACCCTGGTTTCGGGGCTCAGCGACAGCCCCGAAACCTGACAGTTTTAGAGGAGATCTGTGTGGAGGAGTGGGCCAAAATCCCTGTTGCAGTGTGTGCAAACCTGGTCAAGAACTACAGGAAACGTATGACCTCTGTAATTGCTAACAAAGGCTTCTGTACCAAATATTAACACTGATTTTCTCAGGTGTTCAAATACTTATGTTCAGCAGTGCAAGACAAATAAATTCTTTAAAAATCATACAATGTGATTTCCTGAATTTTTTTTAAAATTCTGTCTCTCAGAGTGGGAATGCAGCTACAATGTGAATTTCAGACCCCTCCATGATTTCTAAGTGGGAGAACTTGTAAAATCGCAGGGTGTTCAAATACTTCTGTTCCTCACTGTATATGTGTATATATATATATATATACTGTGTATATATAATTGTATATAGTTGTGTGGATCATGATAAATTATGGAGGACTGTGTTGCAAATGGGAATACCTAAACACATAACACAGTTAATAAAGAACCTTTACAAAAACAAGGAGCCGAAAGGCGTAATATGGTATTAGAACTGAAAATAAACAAGACGAAGATCATGAACACAGAAAATGATAACAATTTTGAGTTTGACAGAATAGAAGTTATAATACATTTTAATCTCTCTCATAAACAAAGAATCAACTAGCAGGGATAAAATATTTTGCAGAATTGCACTTGGTAGCTACATAATAAAGAGTCGCAACAAAGTTTTCAAATGCAAAGAAATTGCACTGAAAACAAAGATCAGACTTGTCTATGTTCTCATTTTCTCTCTTGACAATTACGGTTCTGAAAGATGGACACTACGAAAACAGGATAGAAAGAAGATTGACTGATTTGAGTTTTGGTGCTGGAGAAGGATTGTATGTGTGCCGCGGACTGATACCTCACTTTTTTACATTTACAAAATTTGATCCAAGATTGAGTTCTCTGTTTTCAGTTGATGCCAGCAGTTTCAGCCACACTACAATTTCTAAAACTCTAAAGTAACCAAGAGATGAGTGCATCCCTTTTACCTTTGATATCCTTGTCTGGTACCATACAATGAACCATTTCATACCTAGGCCTTATTTTATGAGTCTGTTCTATTCTTAACTACATGGTCGCTTCTCTTTATTTCTACATACAGTATTTCTAAAAGGAATCCTGTTGAGTGCAAGTTACTGAATTGATAGACAAAGCAGAGCAAGCCATGTTATGGTCAATATTATGATAGAAGGGGGTGGAGTCCAAACCTATATAGGGAAACACATTACATTTTCCAAGGGCCTTAAAAAACAATATCCTAGGCAACTGGTTTATTAAAGGAATATAGAATGGTCAGGAGGGAAAACTGTATTTGATTAGTTTGTGAGGGCAAATAAAAGAAATGGGATTTTTGCTTGTGTTTGTTTGGATAACTGAAATGAATGCAGCTTGAACATTTTTTTACTAAGCTATGCGAATATTTATTTTGTAAACTGAACAAACTACACCTTTATTTTACCTATTCCTATTAATAAGTACTGGTTGGATAAAGACCTTTTTTGCATACAGTATAAAATAATTTCACAGACATTTGTTAGTATAAGATGAGAGGCTCACTGACCAAATCACTCAAAAAGAAATGTCACTTGTTTGCTTGCAACACTATCCGAAAGTAATATATGATGTATATAAAGAATCCCCCATTTATTTTATTAATACCACACATACAGAAATAATACATGAAATAATTTTATTGACAACTGAAAAAAGTAAAAAAATGCATATCTAATTTTTCTCCCTACAGCAATTTTAATCAATGGAAAACTACTGCTAAGTGACTGCCACAAATAAACATATAAATGCTATTTCAAGTAATGTTCCTTCCAATGACCTAAATATCATTACAAGACACTGGAGTAATGTGGGGGAAAGCGTGATAACCAGTGAGTGCTGTGGGTGATCAAGGAGATCAACAATCCCCGAAGTGTCAGTTTCTAAGCAGATTTAGTCAAGGCATCTTGAATTGAGGGGTGTTTTGTTGGTGCGAGCAGTAAGTTAAAGGTAACTATGAAGTCTCTTTTTTTGCAGGAATGGCTGTTTCAGTTTTTTTTTTTTTTTTTTTTAAAGACAGGGTTGCTTTAAGTATTTCTGGATCTAAAGCCAAATTTAGGAAACTGTAAAAAAGTTGCTTACTTGTTAATTTTTAACCTTTCCTGTAATACCTGAGATTATCCTCCTAGTAAGTTCTTAAAACTTAGAATAGGAAATGTTAACGTGAGTTACATTGAAAAATTGTCAAAAGCCCCTTTGGACTTTTGGTATAATATTTAACGTGCAACATAACTATGAATAAAAATAGTCCACCTAAAGCTCATAACCTGTGCATAGGTGGACATAGATGGGTCAGTCATCTCCCAGGTTCACAAGTCATTCTGAGATCCTGGAGACAACCACTTGCCCGCCGTCATAAAGTAGAAGTACTGCTACAGGGCAGCAGGGCTGCACAAAATCACATATATATATGTGATTTGCATTTCTGGTTAGGGGCAGCCCTACTCGCGCCGCCATTGGCGGCTAGAGATGTCAATCACCGGGTCAGCAGAGAAATACTAAGCAGCATGTCTCCGTTGTAAAACAGCACATAACGTGAAACACACACAGCACACAGTTAACCCTTTGATCAACCCAAATGTTAACCCCTTCCTGCCCAGTGTCATTAGTACGATATCAGTGCTTTTTATTAGCACTGATCACTGTATTAGTGTCACTGGGGATGTTAGTGGCAGTTAGTCATGTAGAAGAATACATTTTTGCCTGAATTTATGACAAAATTTCTTCTTTAACAATTTTTGTTTATAGCGCAAAAAATATAAACCACAGAGGTGATTAAATACCAGCAAGAGAGCTCTATTTGTTGGAAAAAAGGATATAAATTTAATTTATGTACAGTACTGCATGACCGCGCAATTGTCCGTTAAAGTAGCGCAGCGCCGTATCGCAAAAAATGGCCTGCTCAGGAAGGGGGGTAAATCCTCTGGAGGGCAAGTGCGTTAAGCCATGTATGGGTCACATGCTGAATGACATGCCATTCCAGTTAAAGTTAGGCTGTCTATTCCTTTTTTATGAAGAATAAATTGGAGCAGGTGACCATGTCCAACACAAAGAGCTGTTTTTTTGGTGACCAGAGATGGAATTTATGGGAAACGGTTTTTAGGGGGGTGTGGTCAGGGGCGGACTGACAACTCATGGGGACCCCGGGCAATAGAGGATCATGGGGCCCCTGTGTCCTTGCCCAAACTTAAAAAAAAGCCTATGAAAAAGGTACCAGGGGCATCTCATGGCGCCCACTACTGACCCCGGGCCCTCGGGCAGTGCCCAAATTTCCAAATGGTCAGTCCGCCCCTGGGTGTGGTTTACACTTAGCTACCAGAATATTACAACACAGGAGCAGATAACCAGAACCTTAGGATGTCTAGATAAAGCTCAGTCTGTGTGACACTACTTTTTATTCCAAGCTAAATATTATGTTCCCTTTTAAAACATTTAAGGCATTTTATAGTGCCTGAATTTCAGTTATTTTTTCCAGATATGTTGTTAATGCTGTAATGCAAATTTCACATATAATTTCTACTGAAGATCTCCAACAATTATTTACTCTATTAAAAACTTTATTATGTATTTGTGAATCTTACAAAATACTTTTTTGCATTTGCACATTTTAAATTCCTATTGCTATACTTCTTTAAGCATCACAGTACTAAAAAATACACAGCTTGGTGTATTCTACTCTTCTTCTGCGTTATTATGTAATGCTCCAAGGTCCAAAGAGAAAAAAGGGGTACCATAAACTATCTATACATAGCATTTCTTAAATACATTATTTAAAAAAATAATTAAAAATGTTTAAACCTAAGACTTGAACCATTTCCTGGCACATTTTATTTAAAAGGAATCAACAGTGATTTTCCGCTCTGTGATCATTTCCACTGACTAATACAAATACATTAATGCCTGATATCACTGGTCATGTTATATGCAGAACACAGGGTAGAACAAACTAATGACTCTATGATTTAGCTAGACAGACAGTTTCACACTGTTCTTGTGTTTCAAACTGGTTTTTGTTTCCTCCGCAGCCACCATACCAGAACTGGACACACTCGTTCTGATTGGAGTTGTACCACCACTTCAGTACATAATCTTGGCAGTCTCCTGCTTCTTGTTTCAATTGACATATATCTGCAAAGGAGAACATTGGATTTAAAATGTATATTTAAAAGAATGGTTGAGACTGTTATTAGTACAGTACAGGAAATTAAAGCAGTACTCCAACACAAAATAAAATGGCTACTAAAATATTAAATAAAAAGCAGCTTTTGCTGCAATACCCACCTTCAACCAAGCTGTCCCTACTTCCTTTCTGTTACAAGTTCTAAAGTCTTCCAAGTTTAATGGCAGACAGGATCATTCAACCCACTTCCTTTAAGGCCAGGCTATCATGGGCCTACCCTCAGTCTATGACTGGTTAGTGAAGCTGAAGTAAAAGTGTGATGGGCTCATCCTTTCACTCACTAGCACATTAACTGATTTGGCTCCTTGTGCTGCTTCTTCTTTAACACTTAGAGACTGCAAGAGGCTGATACCAAATCACATTCAGGTACTTGCAGTGGCTTGCATTTAAAAAGTATATATTTTATAATTAACCGGTTCCTGACCGCCCTATAGCAGAACCACTGCTACAGGGCAGCAGGGCTGCGCTAAATCACACACACACATATATATATATATATATATATATATATATATATATATATATATATATATATATATAAAAGTGATTTTCCATTTCTGGGTAGGGGGCACGCACGTGCGCCACTCTACTGCCATTGGCGGCTACAGATGTTAGTCACCGGGTCCCGGACAGAGATTCCCCGCTGGCACCTGGCGATCACCGAGGAACAGTGACAGGAGAGAGGTCTGCATGTAAACAACATAGATCTCTCCCCTGTCAGCACTGACATGCTGCTTTGTATTGCTCTGCATACCAGAGCAATACAAAGCAGCATATTTCCCTAGTAAAACAGCACACATTTAACCCTTTGATCGCCTCAGATGTTAACCCCTTCCTGCCCAGTGTCATTAGTATAGTGTCAGTAATTTTCATCAGCACTGATCACTGTATTAGTGTCATTGGGATGTCAGTGGCAGTTAGTCAGTTCCCCCCCCCCCCCCATGTCAGAATGCCCGCCGCAGTCCCGCAGTCCCACAATAAGTCGCTGATCACTGCCATTACTGGTATAAAGAAAAAAATTCTAGTATATATACCGCCATTTGTAGATGCTATAACTTTCACGTAAACCAATTAATTTACATGTATTGGGATTTGTTTTAGTAGACATGTCCCAGAATACATTTTGGACTAAATTTATGATGAAATTAGATTTTACATTTTTTTACTGGACATGTTTTATAGCAAAAAGTCAAAAATACTGTTTATTTTCAAAATTGGCAGTCTTTTTTTGTTTATAGTGCAAAATATAAAAAACACAGAGGCGATCACATATCAGCAAAAGAAAGCTCTATTTGTGGGAAAAAAAGGACATAAATTTAATTTGGGTGCAGCGTTGCATGATTGTGCAATTGTCAGTTAAAGTAATGCAGCACCATATCACAAAAAATGGCCTGGTCAGGAAGGGGGGTAAATCCTCTGGAGGGCAAGTGGTTAAGTTATATTGTATGTTTTATCTGCCTAAAGTTCAGCTTTAAATGCATACTAAAAACTGATATCTTAAAATATGATAGAGTATTCACAAGTATATACTGAACATATGTTTAAAATCAAAATTTGCTCTCAGACCTTTTTGTTTTCATTGTGTGGGCTTACAGATGTGATAACAATATTGTTATCAAGAAGTATGACAGTATTACTTTGGAAATTTGAATTCCATAGAGGCTTGTAGGCTAAACTCAGTGCAATTTTGTTGCTTAATTAAAATTACACAATTGTGCAACTTATTTACCTCACAGGATAAAAAGATAAATGCATCTCTGTGCTATAAAGAAGGGAGCAGCGCAGTACTGCCAACATCACAGCATCTACATGTCTGCCATAGGGAGACTAGATCATCCACTCACCCTCTGCTTCCACCCTTTGGGGAGAGACCAGGGGGTCCCCCCTTTCTATAGTGAGAGGTCACCACAGCATGGGGGGACTACTGAGAGGGCTATGATGATACTGCTAGCAGGGGCTGAGCCACTGAGAGCAGGACAGCAAGTGTACCCAATCCATACTGCACCCATACTGCATTCAGTACTGCACCTATTTGAAACTTAGAATGCACCTATACCAACACTATACTGCATTATACCAAAACCTTTACTGCATCTGAACCACATCTACCTTGCACCTGTGCCGAGTCTATACTATACCTATACTGTACCTATACTGCATACATGTATAGTAGAACTGTCTTTAACCAATTCAATACCGGGCAATTTTACACCTTCCTGCCCAGGCCATTTTTCAGGTTTCAGCGCTCTCACACTTTGAATGACAATTGCGCGGTCATACAACATTGTACCCAAACTAAAATTTTATCATTTTCTTCACACAACTAGAGCTTTCTTTTGGTGGTGTTTAATAACCGCTGGGGTTTTTATTTTTTGCTAAATTAACAAAAAAAGACCAAAAAGTTTGAAAAAAAAAGTTTTTCTTTGTTTCTGTTATAAAAGTTTGCAAATTAATAATTGTTCTCCATAAATTTAGGCCGAGATGTATTCTGCTACATGTCTTTGGTGAAAATAACCCAAATTAGAATGTATTTTTTAGTTTGTAGGAAAGTTATAGAGTTCACAAACTATGGTATAGATCTGAATATTGATCAATCCTGAAGTACTGACAGCCAATCTAATTTCTTGAGGTCCAAGAATGTCAGAACAGTACAGATATCCCCCAAATGACCCCTTTTTGCAAAGTAGACAGTCCGACGTACTTCACAAGAGGCATGGTGAGTTTTTTGAAGTTGTATTTTTTTGTCATAATTTTTTGGAAAATGAAAAAATTAAAAAAATTAGTTTCACTATTTTTTTCTTACATATTGTCACCAGTGCAGTACAGCATTATCATATAACTGGCACGGTGGTGATCAGGGACACTGACTGGTGACAGTTTGAAAAAATATATATATATTTTTTATTATTTTTTTTTTTTTTATTATTATTTTTTATTACATTTTTTACTTTTTTTAAGATTTTTTTTCACATTTCACAATGACCAAAGTAGTACAATGTTACCATAGTAACATTGTACTACTTTGGGGAAGTGATCAGTATTTTTTTTTTTTTTACACAATTTGCTTATAGAAAAGAATTACTTTGCTATAAGCAAGCATTTACCTGAATGACATCGATTCATTCAGGGTTTTTTTTTTTGTGCTTAGCTGTGATTTGGCCACAGCTAATCACATGACATGTGCATGTTATTAGCTGTGACCATTCACAGCTAGACACTAGTATACAATGGATGGCATGAATGAAGCCATCCATTGTATACAACTGTCATGTGACCTGCTGTGGTACAGAGGTACATGGCCAGTGACAGATCGTGCCGCTGTGCCACTCTGCAGGAGCGCAATCTGCGCATGTGTGGGAGGACGCCATATGGCGTCCACACGGAACGCTGATGACATTTGCCGCCAGCCATTCGGCCATAGGGCGGGCGGCAAATGGTTAAGTACACCAAAACTCTAAAAGGGCCCCAACAATAGCCAGCAGAAAAACATCTCAAATGACTGCCTTTGACAGACAGAGAACAGAGTATGAACAGCGAGTGCAGAGCAAATGCACAGGACTGGCCAGGAAGATCTAGATATGTGGCTGTGAACACTGAAAATTGCACAGCCAATGTTTCACCTAATGTATGATGTAGGTTAACTACTTTCCCCCGGCTATATGCATATGCAGTGTCTCAGTGGGAGGACTTTAATGCTAAGCAGCTGCATTTATACATCCTTTGGGAAACACTTTACTGCGCTGAGAGAATGCTCCCTGCACACTCTCAGCACAGTTATGAGAAGGTACCAGAAAGCTCCCAATGCAAACCTGTGATCGATCAGGACTTTCCAATCATGTGACCACTGTGACTGCCAATGACAGCCATCACATGATCGGAAAGTCCACCTCTGCCTCCAGGAATTTAGATACTGTTAAAGAGCCAGGAGGCAACCGGGTACGGGGCTAAAATTAGCAGTATAAAACTAATGTTTTTATGCATTTTAATTTAAATGAAAATATGTTATTTTTAGCATACTATGTACAGCATTTATCAAGATTTATATGATTTTTAACTTTTTTTTTTACCATTAATCTCTATGGGGTTGATTTACTAAAGGAAGGTAGGCTGTTCTGTTTTTAAACAGAAAACATCTTTGGCAGATCAGAAGAAGTGGCAATGATGATCTGTCAAATTAATTTATTTTTAGACCAAACAATGTATTTTTTTTTGGATTGTGTCACTGTGTCACACTGACCCACAACATCTGTTCATGTTCTGAAAGAAAAATAGTACAGAAATGAAATAATTTAAGTGAGCTTTTGCGCTTTCCACATCCATGTTTGTAGATTACCTGGTCTGGGTGTGCAAGAATTAGGTTCTATGTCCTGTTGTGGATGAAGTAATAGCCTTAAGCTGGGTACACACTTGTAGTCTTTTTCGTTCAACCCAGAGAGTTGAACAAAAACCCTGACCGAATGCCCTACCAACACAAGCAATGTTGGTGTGGCAATCTCCTCTGCTGTTCTATTGACTTCTGAGAGCAGGTAGGATTCCCCACTCCCCCTTCCCTGCCAGAATTCACAGATCGGCGCTCGAAGGCATTGGCTGCAAGCGCTGAATGAATGCTGGTTTTCCCTTTGACATTGCATCTGTCGAAAAGACAGTTGTACACACTGACCATTTTTCAGCCAGTGTGTGCCCAGCTTTAGACAAGTTTGTCATATCTGGCATATCTATTGACCTCTGACAGCAAGGAAGCTTCCCTGCCCCCCTCCCCTGCCAGAATTCACAAATCAGCACTCGCAGTCATTGGCTGCAAGCGCTGAATGGATGCTGGTTTTCCAGCATGTCACTTTGACATTGCATCTGTCAGAGAGACAGCTGTACACACTGACCGTTTTTCGGCCCGTGTGTGCCCAACTTTAGAAAAGTTTGTCATATCTGGTAAATACTTAAGAAATA